ATTGAGTTCAACTTTTAAAATTTCTAGTTGTGTGTAAGAATTTCTCTTGAATCGTGCATGTTGTTTTTGTCAAATATGCAAGTATGCAAAAAACAAAACGGAGTTGAACAATCGATGTAAGCTTTGTTGTTCATGTTAAATTTTTTTCCAGCATTGCTATATCAACTAGTTCAAGCAAACGCTTTGAAGAAAAAGACTTATTGGAGAATGCGGGCATCGATCCCGCTACCTCTCACATGCTAAGCGAGCGCTCTACCATTTGAGCTAATCCCCCACGCGTGCATAAGACCAGCTCTGTGTACCGGCAGAATATAGAACATAATACAAGACGGATGAAGGCAAAAACCAAAAAGGCAACTGTAAGAAAATAGTCAAAGCAAGAACAAGCAATGCTAGGTCTTTATGCCAGAACCTCCTCTCCCCTGAAGAAAAAGAAGCAAAGAAAATGATGGAAATCATCCTTCAGAGTAGAACTGAACAAGCAACCTACGGAATTCTACTTGAGAAAAATGCATCAATTAAGAGCAACAAGAAAAAAATCATATGTCCTTCGAACCGGAATTGAACCAGCGACCTAAGGATTGCTAACATATACCAACTACAGTCCTCCGCTCTACCAGCTGAGCTATCGAAGGTAATTTGTGAGTGCATCCAATGTCAAAGTAGGATATTTTTGAAGAATCAGGTAAGCAGTTAAAAAATTTGCAAAATGCTGCTGTGGCAATGACATCCAAGTAAACAAAAAGTTCAAACTGAACACTATTCATTTAAAAAAAAGGCCTGCAACTGGAGAATGCGGGCATCGATCCCACTACCTCTCACATGCAAAGCGAGCGCTCTACCATTTGAGCTAATTCCCCACTTTGCCTGAACAATGCCGTATAGCTTGTGTCCTCAGAGGCAGAACCAGAGACAAAGGAAGGAAAAGCCTTGAAAAGTCAAAGCGCTAGAATTCAGATTTTAAGCCTGCCAAGCTCATCAACTTTGCGTACCGATAGAATATAGAGCATCCTCAGAGGCAGAACCAGAGACAAAGGAAGGAAATGCCTTGAAAAGTCAAAGCGCTAGAATGCAGATTTTAAGCCTGCCAAGCTCTTCAACTTTGTGTACCGATAGAATATGGAGCATCCTCAGAGGCAGAACCAGAGACAAAGGAAGGAAATGCCTTGAAAAGTCAAAGTGCTAGAATTCAGATTTTAAGCCAGCCAAGCTCTTAAACTTTGCGTACCGATAGAATATAGAGCATCCTCAGAAGCAGAATCAGAGACAAAGGAAGGAAATGCCTTGAAAAGTCAAAGTGCTAGAATTTAGATTTTAAGCCAGCCAAGCTCTTAAACTTTGCGTACCGATAGAATATAGAGCATCCTCAGAGGCAGAATCAGAGACAATGGAAGGAAATGCCTTGAAAAGTCAAAGTGCTCGTATTCAGATTTTAAGCCTGCCAAGCTCTTAAACTTTGCGTACCGATAGAATATAGAGCATCCTCAGAGGCAGAACCAGAGACAAAGGAAGGAAAGGAAGGAAATGCTAGAGTCGCTAGAATGCAGATTTTAAGCCTGCCAAGCTCTTAAACTTTGCGTACCGATTGAATATAGAGCATGATACTGAGTGGATGAAGACCAAAAAAACAAAAGGCAATTGAAAGAAATATGTAACAGCAGGAACAAGCAATGCCAGATCTCGACGCAAGGACCTCCCCTCCCCTTAAGAAAAATAAACAATGAAAATGAGGCAAAAAATCCTTCAGGGCAGAAATGAAGCAGCAATCCTAGAAACGCTATTTGAGGGAAATGGGAGAAGAAGTAGTGGGATGAGTGAAATATGGGAATGTACCAAGCCACCGGAACAAAAAAACAACAAGTCCTTTGAGTTGGAATTGAACCAGCGACCTGAGGGGAAAGAAAGAAAATGCCATGAGAAGGCAAAGTGCTAGAATGAAGTTTTTGTGATTGCCAAGGTAAGGCAAGCAAAGGCCAATAAAAATTCTCATTGAGTTCAACTTTTAAAATTTCTAGTTGTGTGTAAGAATTTCTCTTGAATCGTGCATGTTGTTTTTGTCAAATATGCAAGTATGCAAAAAACAAAACGGAGTTGAACAATCGATGTAAGCTTTGTTGTTCATGTTAAATTTTTTTCCAGCATTGCTATATCAACTAGTTCAAGCAAACGCTTTGAAGAAAAAGACTTATTGGAGAATGCGGGCATCGATCCCGCTACCTCTCACATGCTAAGCGAGCGCTCTACCATTTGAGCTAATCCCCCAACGCGTGCATAAGACCAGCTCTGTGTACCGGCAGAATATAGAACATAATACAAGACGGATGAAGGCAAAAACCAAAAAGGCAACTGTAAGAAAATAGTCAAAGCAAGAACAAGCAATGCTAGGTCTTTATGCCAGAACCTCCTCTCCCCTGAAGAAAAAGAAGCAAAGAAAATGATGGAAATCATCCTTCAGAGTAGAACTGAACAAGCAACCTACGGAATTCTACTTGAGAAAAATGCATCAATTAAGAGCAACAAGAAAAAAATCATATGTCCTTCGAGCCGGAATTGAACCAGCGACCTAAGGATTGCTAACATATACCAACTACAGCCCTCCGCACTACCAGCTGAGCTATCGAAGGTAATTTGTGAGTGCATCCAATGTCAAAGTAGGATATTTTTGAAGAATCAGGTAAGCAGTTAAAAAATTTGCAAAATGCTGCTGTGGCAATGACATCCAAGTAAACAAAAAGTTCAAACTGAACACTATTCATTTAAAAGAAAGGCCTGCAACTGGAGAATGCGGGCATCGATCCCGCTACCTCTCACATGCAAAGCGAGCGCTTTACCATTTGAGCTAATTCCCCACTTTGCCTGTACAATGCCGTATAGCTTGTGTCCTCAGAGGCAGAACCAGAGACAAAGGAAGGAAAAGCCTTGAAAAGTCAAAGCGCTAGAATTCAGATTTTAAGCCTGCCAAGCTCATCAACTTTGCGTACCGATAGAATATAGAGCATCCTCAGAGGCAGAACCAGAGACAAAGGAAGGAAATGCCTTGAAAAGTCAAAGCGCTAGAATGCAGATTTTAAGCCTGCCAAGCTCTTCAACTTTGTGTACCGATAGAATATGGAGCATCCTCAGAGGCAGAACCAGAGACAAAGGAAGGAAATGCCTTGAAAAGTCAAAGTGCTAGAATTCAGATTTTAAGCCTGCCAAGCTCTTAAACTTTGCGTACCGATAGAATATAGAGCATCCTCAGAAGCAGAATCAGAGACAAAGGAAGGAAATGCCTTGAAAAGTCAAAGTGCTAGAATTTAGATTTTAAGCCAGCCAAGCTCTTAAACTTTGCGTACCGATAGAATATAGAGCATCCTCAGAGGCAGAATCAGAGACAATGGAAGGAAATGCCTTGAAAAGTCAAAGTGCTCGTATTCAGATTTTAAGCCTGCCAAGCTCTTAAACTTTGCGTACCGATAGAATATAGAGCATCCTCAGAGGCAGAACCAGAGACAAAGGAAGGAAAGGAAGGAAATGCTAGAGTCGCTAGAATGCAGATTTTAAGCCTGCCAAGCTCTTAAACTTTGCGTACCGATTGAATATAGAGCATGATACTGAGTGGATGAAGACCAAAAAAACAAAAGGCAATTGAAAGAAATATGTAACAGCAGGAACAAGCAATGCCAGATCTCGACGCAAGGACCTCCCCTCCCCTTAAGAAAAATAAACAATGAAAATGAGGCAAAAAATCCTTCAGGGCAGAAATGAAGCAGCAATCCTAGAAACGCTATTTGAGGGAAATGGGAGAAGAAGTAGTGGGATGAGTGAAATATGGGAATGTACCAAGCCACCGGAACAAAAAAACAACAAGTCCTTTGAGTTGGAATTGAACCAGCGACCTGAGGGGAAAGAAAGAAAATGCCATGAGAAGGCAAAGTGCTAGAATGAAGTTTTTGTGATTGCCAAGGTAAGGCAAGCAAAGGCCAATAAAAATTCTCATTGAGTTCAACTTTTAAAATTTCTAGTTGTGTGTAAGAATTTCTCTTGAATCGTGCATGTTGTTTTTGTCAAATATGCAAGTATGCAAAAAACAAAACGGAGTTGAACAATCGATGTAAGCTTTGTTGTTCATGTTAAATTTTTTTCCAGCATTGCTATATCAACTAGTTCAAGCAAACGCTTTGAAGAAAAAGACTTATTGGAGAATGCGGGCATCGATCCCGCTACCTCTCACATGCTAAGCGAGCGCTCTACCATTTGAGCTAATCCCCCACGCGTGCATAAGACCAGCTCTGTGTACCGGCAGAATATAGAACATAATACAAGACGGATGAAGGCAAAAACCAAAAAGGCAACTGTAAGAAAATAGTCAAAGCAAGAACAAGCAATGCTAGGTCTTTATGCCAGAACCTCCTCTCCCCTGAAGAAAAAGAAGCAAAGAAAATAATGGAAATCATCCTTCAGAGTAGAACTGAACAAGCAACCTACGGAATTCTACTTGAGAAAAATGCATCAATTAAGAGCAACAAGAAAAAAATCATATGTCCTTCGAACCGGAATTGAACCAGCGACCTAAGGATTGCTAACATATACCAACTACAGTCCTCCGCTCTACCAGCTGAGCTATCGAAGGTAATTTGTGAGTGCATCCAATGTCAAAGTAGGATATTTTTGAAGAATCAGGTAAGCAGTTAAAAAATTTGCAAAATGCTGCTGTGGCAATGACATCCAAGTAAACAAAAAGTTCAAACTGAACACTATTCATTTAAAATAAAGGCCTGCAACTGGAGAATGCGGGCATCGATCCCGCTACCTCTCACATGCAAAGCGAGCGCTCTACCATTTCAGCTAATTCCCCACTTTGCCTGAACAATGCCGTATAGCTTGTGTCCTCAGAGGCAGAACCAGAGACAAAGGAAGGAAAAGCCTTGAAAAGTCAAAGCGCTAGAATTCAGATTTTAAGCCTGCCAAGCTCATCAACTTTGCGTACCGATAGAATATAGAGCATCTGAAGGAATATTGACCCCTTAAGGACACATGACATGTCATGATTCCCTTTTATTCCAGAAATCTGGTCCTTAAGGGGTTAAACAATTAATCTGTCAGTATTTCAGAACTGCTTGCAAAACATAATTGAAAGGAAGTCACAAGCTATGACAGTTTCTATGTATCAGGAAATGCCTAACCACAATGTATATGTGATATTTTGTAAGATTAGATTATTGAATGTAACAGCAGAAACTACTTCCTCTTTTATGTATCTTTTGTAACCTTTTTGTAACCTTTTTGTAACCTTTTGTAACCAATATTCGTGACAAGTATAGTATAAATATAGCGAATCTTGAATAAACGATCAGAAGATTATGGAAAGCAAAAAGTGTGTGTCTGGTTAATACGCTTCCATAAAAATCTTCCCTGAATATTCAGCTGACAATCGAGGGTTGGAGAATAGTGACCAGAGGGACCGAGTCACTAGAGTAGCAGATTTACCTTTCAGCTTGGTGTCAGAAAGTGGGATTGTAGCCAAAACCATTTTGGGTGAGTAGTAATTCCTTGTGTCTATCTTGACGCCCTGAATCTATGATCCCCATGGTTTTGTAAGTCTACATCATTTTAGGAAAGGTTATTTTGTACATGTGTTTTATGTGACTCAGTTTTACATAAGGTCCCGTTAAATTAGTCTAGTAAGGGAACTAGACAGAGAGATATATGTATTTCTAGTAAGTGAACTAGAGAAGGTCTAATAAGAGAATTAGACAGATAAAAGGAAGTCTATAAAGTGATATAGACAGAGAATTTAGTATATAAGTGAATATACTACGATAGTGTGCACAGAGTTTCAGGTTCACCTTGTCCACCCTCTAATTGTCATTAGTTAAGTCTGGTTGTGAGTGTGAATAAGTGTTTGAAAGATTTGTCCTAGGAATGGGAAATTACCATGTAAGAATATGAAGTAGTTAACTTTTCTTGTTCATATGTATTTTATGCTTAAATAAGGTTTATAATCAGTAGTGCTGACTGTAAGGATATGAAATAGTTAAACTCTTTTTGCTTTATATGCTAACCCTGAAAATATACTCACTGAGAATCTTGTTAAAGCACATTTGTAGTGTCCATGTCTTTATTGCAAACAATGATTCTCCATCAATTGGGTGATTGTCTATATTGGGGACACACTTTGGTAAGTTAGTAGTGTGTCCACCCTGAGTCAGCAGTATGGGAAATGTAAGTTCAGGTCCTGAGTGACCAATATATCTACATATATATATGATACCAGTACTGTATATTAGAAAAGAACTGGCTCGCAGGTTTTGCCTGATAGACCTACTTAAATCTTTTGCTTTATTCTTTCTGTTGCATAGAAGTATAGTGTATTACTCTGTTTTATTGCAAGTTATTTCACATGGGATCTGTGTGCCTGGTATGATTGTTGCTTTAATACCATAAGCCCACTACACTTTCTATGAGAGTGGGATAGTGTAAGTGTGTTGCATTGTTTGCATGATGAGCTCAGTATTTTTATAACTGAGACAAAATGTCACATCATTAGTATTTGAAAGTTAATTCCCCATATGGGATTAATTGTATAGAATACCAATCAGCACATCTTCCATGCCCTGTGTGTTTGTTGCAAAGGATCCATACTTTAAATATGATTTTTGTTTGTTAATAAGAGCAACATTTACATTTTCAGCGGTCCAACACATGCTTCATTTTGCGCTGTAAACTAACCTTTTTATTGCAACAGATTCCTTTTAAATGATCCAGTGTAATAATTACTGCATATGTTTTGTGTCTTCTATGTCTCACATTATATGTGTTCTGTTCTTTTAAATTGTGGTATATAGCCTGGATCAGAGATTATGGACAAAGGTTTCTACCTGTTTTACTAAGGCTCTTGGAGACTGACCGGTCTAAGGTTTGCCATGCCTTTTAAACATGGTATAGAATAATTTTTTTTTTAAGTCTCTGAGAGTTCTGTAAGATTCTGGTGAAACCATGTCTGTGTAATCTGGTCCAAATGTTTGCTCAATTTCTATAAGATTTAAGTTGATGCAGTATCATCTCAGATTAGTTAATGGAAGTTTCATACAAATATTTGAGTTATGAGCGCGCTATATAAATGTATCCTTTCTCTGTATACAATACTATAGTAGATTAAAGTAATGAAGTTAATAAGAATAAAAAAAAATAAAAAAAAATAAAAAAATAATAAAATAAAGTATACATAAGAATCCCTAAAATAAATCTAATATAAACTAAAAATGGTATACCTTATAATATGTTCTGAGTACAGCTGTTAACTGTTTATTCTGTGTAAATGGTGACTGTGATAATGTGTGAAGTGTGCAGCTTACCTGGAAAGTGGTTTAATTTATATGTTGCTGTGTTGTTTTAAATTATATTTGAATCAGTTTGTCTCAGTCTAGTGATACTGATAAAAATGCCAGTCAAATAACCCAGCAAATAACGGTTTTGTTAGCTGTTGAATACTAGCATTCTGGCCAAGAGTAGTTGGAGTTGGAGTAGTTCTATGAGCTCAGAGAGGCTCTGTGTTGTGGTCTGATATAGCTATATGGGAATGGAGATTTGGAGGTATTAGTTTAAGACTGCTTTCATATTGTGTCTACCTGTGTTTCCTAGGAGGGACACAGAGTGTGTAGTTGTGTGCTCATGAATGTGTTTTCTGTATTGGCATATCTGCTGGGTACCCGATACGTGTATCTACTACGTCTGTTTTGTGAGATGTCTGTTTTGTGAGATGACATGTAATATTACATTGAATGCTGAGTATGAGTTATATGGTTTGAAATGAATTGGTGTGTTATGTGTTTTATGTATTTTATTGTCCATTGTGTAGGAGTTTAACTAGCAGAGTGATTTGCATATCATTAACGCAAGCATTTAGTGTTTTTACAAAAGGTGAAATGCTGTCCAGCCGGCTAGAATGAAACAATTGTATGCTATCGCTCATGGAGCACGAAAAGCGCTTGTTACATCCCACGTGAAAGGGGCCCTGCAAACTTCTGCTGTTCAAATCGTGGGTCCACGTTTCCATTTGCAAACTGATTAATCCTGAAAGTCATTCTTTTACTGATAAAAAGGATTGAATGGACAAGATGTCTCTCCCTCATAAAGGAGTTCTAATAGGGGAGTATTGTCCAGCTCAGAGTTAACTCTACTTTTAAAGTATATTGCATTGTTTGTGTCAAAGTAAGATTCATCTAGTATGCCTCATTGATTATGGGGTAATAATAACATGGTATTTTTATTGGAGATTAGACAATTTCTGAAATTTATAAGTGAGGTAATTTTAATCTCCTAAACTACTGTATTATATTTGTATGGGTAAATTGAAAGCATTTTGCAGATCCAGAGGAGCATTAATAAATAATATAATAATCTCACTAGGTGCCAATTTATGCAAAGAGGCTATCCAAAGTACGCACTAACGGGTTAAACTTGTTTTCTTGATAAGTGTATAACATTTAGTTTTATGGTTAGACTTTTGATACTCAATTTAAAATATGTCCCAACTACATCCTTGCACGGCACCAGGTACAGGAAGCAATTTGCGTTTTAAAAATGTGCAAGGTCTTAGTGTTTTCAATATATTATAACAATGGAAAAGTACCTAACCGCATGTCTGCATTATGCTCATGACACAGACTGTCAGTATTGCAAGCCCTATATGAAGGCTATGCTTTCATTGTTGATGTATATACCCCTAGACAACCTTGCTTTATATACAAAATTTAACTATCCATACAGCCTTTAAAAGCTTATTAATATTATATCTGTGTGGTACACAAAGAGGGGGCTGTGAGTTAGGTAATCCCATCCTGCATATGGAATAAAGGCAGAGGTAGAGGATTTGGTCAAAGGGTCTAACTTTTGTAACAACTTCAGCATTGGTGGAACACACTGTTCTAATTGTGGATAGCAGGGTCACTGGAAAAATGAGTGCCCAAACCCACCCCCACAGATTCCTCAATACCAACCATAGCTTCCAACCTATACCCACACCCAACAACCACAGCATAATACACAGATGGTTCATGTTTGTAATATTTTATATAGGTTTAGGTGTTAATCCAAGAGTATTGAATTATTCGGGATTATTAAAGTAATTAATTTTGAATATCAAATCAAGGTTCCAGTTTAGGAACAGAGTTTTATTGGGAATTATCCCCATATGTATATGTTAGTGTTTTAATATTCATCCTAACAAGGATTTCTATAGAGTGAGTGTTACTCTCATCCGTGCAAAGGCATTCCAAAGGGATATTATGTAAAACTTTATAGAAGACAGATTGCATAAAATATAAGAGAAGTACATGTTACACAAATTAAGGGTTTAACCTTAATCTCTAATTTAAGTTTTAGCCTAGGTAATTAATTTATGTTGTATTGATCCTTGTGTTTGTATGATTGTAGAGACCGTCCTGGAGTGTTTGTGCCGCCTGATTTCTGGGACTACACACCAATCTCTCTGGCTGACCATGCAATAAGTATTTTGCAATTACGTCTGTTTGGTCATTATCCATGCAGGCCGAAGAAACTGAGATACTTATTTATGAGGACATAAACTTTGCACGCAAGAACCTGGAAAGTCCTGAAGGTGCAGTGCTGTCTAATGCCGCTGGTTCTGTAATAACCCTTTCAACCATTGGGGTGTTGCACAGAGCTTTGTGGTGAAAATCCAGCAAACAAAAGAAGAACTAAGAACTATATGGAAGCTGACATTGTCTTGTTGTCAGCCATATTGCTACCCTTAGCCATTTTTATGGAACAAAATGTCTGGTGTCTAAACTGATTTCTTTATACTCTGTGAAAGACTTATTCTATTTTTCTGAACTATGCTGAACTATTGAACTATTTTTATTTTTATTTTTGTAGAGTTAGCCAGAGAGAGAGGAAGTGTTAGCTGACCCAGGGATGGATGTACTATGTGTGTTTTTGATATATGTTGAGTGTGCCAGGGATGGATTCCCATGTTTTGAGGAACTGCGTGAGGATATGACTGGTTTTGACTGGACTTTTGGAATAGGGAAATGGTTAAAAGATATAGGACGCAAGGTCCTGGTTGTGCAAAAATATAGTTGCTATAAGCCCAAGTTCCATTCTGTCTTAAACATCCATTTTCTATATATCTGTCTGCAAAAGTATTAAGTGTTTTTGTTTTGTTTTTTTTCTGCTGAGTTTCTGTTTCTTGTAGACCACATGATTGCTTGGGAATGCCATAATGTGGAAATTTCTCTGTCTTGGGAGAATGTTAACCGATGATATGAGCAATATATATTGCTCAAAGAGGGGTAACAATTGTGATTATTGGGGCTCAGTTGGATGGAACACCGGGACAGATTGGGGTTATAAGCCACAGAATGCATTAGATAAAAAGTATACGAATGGGAAGTCCCTCTTGACTAGAATGACCCTAACAAAGCCAGGTACATGTACCCCTATAGGGCAAACTGGGCACTCCATGAAATTTACCTTAAATATTGAAAACCCCAGTCCTGGAGATCAAGGTATTTATATTCTCAGTACCTTTTTAAGAGGAGGTATTGGAGGTGATCGAGGAAAAATCCAGTTAAAAGATATATGGAACTCCTCAAAATGGGAAAGCCTCACCTCTAGACAAACTCTTGTTAATCCTCTAAAGCCCCACATTAAGGTTGTAACTGATTCCACAAGAAGGAAAAGGGAATCCCCACAAGGTAGTTTCGACCCACATATCTATCTAGATGCCATTGGTATTCCAAGAGGGGTCCCTAATGAATTTAAAGCTAGAGACGAGGTGGCAGCAGGATTTGAATCAATATTTCCCATTATAACAGCTAACAAGAATGTTAACTGGATTAATTATATATATTATAATCAGCAAAGATTTGTAAATTATACACGAGATGCATTACAAGGTCTTGCTGAACAATTACAGGCTACCTCACAAATGACTTTCCAGAATAGAATGGCCCTTGATATGATTTTAGCAGAAAAGGGAGGAGTCTGTAAATTACTTGACTCCGGTGTTTGTTGTACCTATATTGCAGAGAACACTGGCCCTAATGGTAAAGTAACCCTAGATATAAAGAAATTAGAAGACCTGTCCATAGAAATGAAGAGGAATTCAGGTATTGATCACCCATGGGCAGATATGTTTAAGTTTGACAGTATCCTAGACTGGCTAAAGAATATTGCAATACTTATTGTTATGGTTCTGATCCTTGCTCTACTTGTTTATGCTATTTTCAAGATTATTGTATTCTGCATTTACAAACATACACGCAACACTGTTCCTGTAAAATCCCCAGCTTGCTATGATGAGTATCTCCAAATGTATACACATAACCGAAGCAATGGTGAACATGCTGATACAGATCTATAAGTTTGTGGTACTGGTCAGATGCCTAGTCCTATGCTATGGGAATAGTGGCCGAAGACATAATGAAAGACCTGCAGGATTGGCTAGCAATCCTGAATATACCATGGCAGATGGCTGGTTGTCTGACCAGGACTCCTTAAATAGGGTATGAGCAAGATATTGCTCAAAGAGGGGGAAATGAAGGAATATTGACCCCTTAAGGACACATGACATGTCATGATTCCCTTTTATTCCAGAAATCTGGTCCTTAAGGGGTTAAACAATTAATCTGTCAGTATTTCAGAACTGCTTGCAAAACATAATTGAAAGGAAGTCACAAGCTATGACAGTTTCTATGTATCAGGAAATGCCTAACCACAATGTATATGTGATATTTTGTAAGATTAGATTATTGAATGTAACAGCAGAAACTACTTCCTCTTTTATGTATCTTGTGTAACCTTTTTGTAACCTTTTTGTAACCTTTTGTACCCAATATTCGTGACAAGTATAGTATAAATATAGCGAATCTTGAATAAACGATCAGAAGATTATGGAAAGCAAAAAGTGTGTGTCTGGTTAATACGCTTCCATAAAAATCTTCCCTGAATATTCAGCTGACAATCGAGGGTTGGAGAATAGTGACCAGAGGGACCGAGTCACTAGAGTAGCAGATTTACCTTTCAGCATCCTCAGAGGCAGAACCAGAGACAAAGGAAGGAAATGCCTTGAAAAGTCAAAGCGCTAGAATGCAGATTTTAAGCCTGCCAAGCTCTTCAACTTTGTGTACCGATAGAATATGGAGCATCCTCAGAGGCAGAACCAGAGACAAAGGAAGGAAATGCCTTGAAAAGTCAAAGTGCTAGAATTCAGATTTTAAGCCAGCCAAGCTCTTAAACTTTGCGTACCGATAGAATATAGAGCATCCTCAGAAGCAGAATCAGAGACAAAGGAAGGAAATGCCTTGAAAAGTCAAAGTGCTAGAATTTAGATTTTAAGCCAGCCAAGCTCTTAAACTTTGCGTACCGATAGAATATAGAGCATCCTCAGAGGCAGAATCAGAGACAATGGAAGGAAATGCCTTGAAAAGTCAAAGTGCTCGTATTCAGATTTTAAGCCTGCCAAGCTCTTAAACTTTGCGTACCGATAGAATATAGAGCATCCTCAGAGGCAGAACCAGAGACAAAGGAAGGAAAGGAAGGAAATGCTAGAGTCGCTAGAATGCAGATTTTAAGCCTGCCAAGCTCTTAAACTTTGCGTACCGATTGAATATAGAGCATGATACTGAGTGGATGAAGACCAAAAAAACAAAAGGCAATTGAAAGAAATATGTAACAGCAGGAACAAGCAATGCCAGATCTCGACGCAAGGACCTCCCCTCCCCTTAAGAAAAATAAACAATGAAAATGAGGCAAAAAATCCTTCAGGGCAGAAATGAAGCAGCAATCCTAGAAACGCTATTTGAGGGAAATGGGAGAAGAAGTAGTGGGATGAGTGAAATATGGGAATGTACCAAGCCACCGGAACAAAAAAGCAACAAGTCCTTTGAGTTGGAATTGAACCAGCGACCTGAGGGGAAAGAAAGAAAATGCCATGAGAAGGCAAAGTGCTAGAATGAAGTTTTTGTGATTGCCAAGGTAAGGCAAGCAAAGGCCAATAAAAATTCTCATTGAGTTCAACTTTTAAAATTTCTAGTTGTGTGTAAGAATTTCTCTTGAATCGTGCATGTTGTTTTTGTCAAATATGCAAGTATGCAAAAAACAAAACGGAGTTGAACAATCGATGTAAGCTTTGTTGTTCATGTTAAATTTTTTTCCAGCATTGCTATATCAACTAGTTCAAGCAAACGCTTTGAAGAAAAAGACTTATTGGAGAATGCGGGCATCGATCCCGCTACCTCTCACATGCTAAGCGAGCGCTCTACCATTTGAGCTAATCCCCCACGCGTGCATAAGACCAGCTCTGTGTACCGGCAGAATATAGAACATAATACAAGACGGATGAAGGCAAAAACCAAAAAGGCAACTGTAAGAAAATAGTCAAAGCAAGAACAAGCAATGCTAGGTCTTTATGCCAGAACCTCCTCTCCCCTGAAGAAAAAGAAGCAAAGAAAATGATGGAAATCATCCTTCAGAGTAGAACTGAACAAGCAACCTACGGAATTCTACTTGAGAAAAATGCATCAATTAAGAGCAACAAGAAAAAAATCATATGTCCTTCGAGCCGGAATTGAACCAGCGACCTAAGGATTGCTAACATATACCAACTACAGTCCTCCGCTCTACCAGCTGAGCTATCGAAGGTAATTTGTGAGTGCATCCAATGTCAAAGTAGGATATTTTTGAAGAATCAGGTAAGCAGTTAAAAAATTTGCAAAATGCTGCTGTGGCAATGACATCCAAGTAAACAAAAAGTTCAAACTGAACACTATTCATTTAAAAAAAAAAGACCTGCAACTGGAGAATGCGGGCATCGATCCCGCTATCTCTCACATGCAAAGCGAGCGCTCTACCATTTGAGCTAATTCCCCACTTTGCCTGTACAATGCCGTATAGCTTGTGTCCTCAGAGGCAGAACCAGAGACAAAGGAAGGAAAAGCCTTGAAAAGTCAAAGCGCTAGAATTCAGATTTTAAGCCTGCCAAGCTCATCAACTTTGCGTACCGATAGAATATAGAGCATCCTCAGAGGCAGAACCAGAGACAAAGGAAGGAAATGCCTTGAAAAGTCAAAGCGCTAGAATGCAGATTTTAAGCCTGCCAAGCTCTTCAACTTTGTGTACCGATAGAATATGGAGCATCCTCAGAGGCAGAACCAGAGACAAAGGAAGGAAATGCCTTGAAAAGTCAAAGTGCTAGAATTCAGATTTTAAGCCAGCCAAGCTCTTAAACTTTGCGTACCGATAGAATATAGAGCATCCTCAGAAGCAGAATCAGAGACAAAGGAAGGAAATGCCTTGAAAAGTCAAAGTGCTAGATTTTAGATTTTAAGCCAGCCAAGCTCTTAAACTTTGCGTACCGATAGAATATAGAGCATCCTCAGAGGCAGAATCAGAGACAATGGAAGGAAATGCCTTGAAAAGTCAAAGTGCTCGTATTCAGATTTTAAGCCTGCCAAGCTCTTAAACTTTGCGTACCGATAGAATATAGAGCATCCTCAGAGGCAGAACCAGAGACAAAGGAAGGAAAGGAAGGAAATGCTAGAGTCGCTAGAATGCAGATTTTAAGCCTGCCAAGCTCTTAAACTTTGCGTACCGATTGAATATAGAGCATGATACTGAGTGGATGAAGACCAAAAAAACAAAAGGCAATTGAAAGAAATATGTAACAGCAGGAACAAGCAATGCCAGATCTCGACGCAAGGACCTTCCCTCCCCTTAAGAAAAATAAACAATGAAAATGAGGCAAAAAATCCTTCAGGGCAGAAATGAAGCAGCAATCCTAGAAACGCTATTTGAGGGAAATGGGAGAAGAAGTAGTGGGATGAGTGAAATATGGGAATGTACCAAGCCACCGGAACAAAAAAGCAACAAGTCCTTTGAGTTGGAATTGAACCAGCGACCTGAGGGGAAAGAAAGAAAATGCCATGAGAAGGCAAAGTGCTAGAATGAAGTTTTTGTGATTGCCAAGGTAAGGCAAGCAAAGGCCAATAAAAATTCTCATTGAGTTCAACTTTTAAAATTTCTAGTTGTGTGTAAGAATTTCTCTTGAATCGTGCATGTTGTTTTTGTCAAATATGCAAGTATGCAAAAAAACAAAACGGAGTTGAACAATCGATGTAAGCTTTGTTGTTCATGTTAAATTTTTTTCCAGCATTGCTATATCAACTAGTTCAAGCAAACGCTTTGAAGAAAAAGACTTATTGGAGAATGCGGGCATCGATCCCGCTACCTCTCACATGCTAAGCGAGCGCTCTACCATTTGAGCTAATCCCTCACGCGTGCATAAGACCAGTTCTGTGTACCGGCAGAATATAGAACATAATACAAGACGGATGAAGGCAAAAACCAAAAAGGCAACAGTAAGAAAATAGTCAAAGCAAGAACAAGCAATGCTAGGTCTTTATGCCAGAACCTCCTCTCCCCTGAAGAAAAAGAAGCAAAGAAAATGATGGAAATCATCCTTCAGAGTAGAACTGAACAAGCAACCTATGGAATTCTACTTGAGAAAAATGCATCAATTAAGAGCAACAAGAAAAAAATCATATGTCTTTCGAGCCGGAATTGAACCAGCGACCTAAGGATTGCTAACATATACCAACTACAGTCCTCCGCTCTACCAGCTGAGCTATCGAAGGTAATTTGTGAGTGCATCTAATGTCAAAGTAGGATATTTTTGAAGAATAAGGTAAGAAGTTAAAAAATTTGCAAAATGCTGCTGTGGCAATGACATCCAAGTAAACAAAAAGTTCAAACTGAACACTATTCATTTAAAAAAAAGGCCTGCAACTGGAGAATGCGGGCATCGATCCCGCTACATTTCACATGCAAAGCGAGCGCTCTACCATTTGAGCTAATTCCCCACTTTGCCTGAGCAATGCCGTGTAGCTTGTGTCCTCAGAGGCAGAACCAGAGACAAAGGAAGGAAAAGCTTTGAAAAGTCAAAGCGCTAGAATTCAGATTTTAAGCCTGCCAAGCTCATCAACTTTGCGTACCGATAGAATATAGAGCATCCTCAGAGGCAGAATTTTTTTCCAGCATTGCTATATCAACTAGTTCAAGCAAACGCTTTGAAGAAAAAGACTTATTGGAGAATGCGGGCATCGATCCCGCTACCTCTCACATGCTAAGCGAGCGCTCTACCATTTGAGCTAATCCCCCACGCGTGCATAAGACCAGCTCTGTGTACCGGCAGAATATAGAACATAATACAAGACGGATGAAGGCAAAAACCAAAAAGGCAACTGTAAGAAAATAGTCAAAGCAAGAACAAGCAATGCTAGGTCTTTATGCCAGAACCTCCTCTCCCCTGAAGAAAAAGAAGCAAAGAAAATGATGGAAATCATCCTTCAGAGTAGAACTGAACAAGCAACCTACGGAATTCTACTTGAGAAAAATGCATCAATTAAGAGCAACAAGAAAAAAATCATATGTCCTTCGAGCCGGAATTGAACCAGCGACCTAAGGATTGCTAACATATACCAACTACAGTCCTCCGCTCTACCAGCTGAGCTATCGAAGGTAATTTGTGAGTGCATCCAATGTCAAAGTAGGATATTTTTGAAGAATCAGGTAAGCAGTTAAAAAATTTGCAAAATGCTGCTGTGGCAATGACATCCAAGTAAACAAAAAGTTCAAACTGAACACTATTCATTTAAAAAAAAGACCTGCAACTGGAGAATGCGGGCATCGATCCCGCTACCTCTCACATGCAAAGCGAGCGCTCTACCATTTGAGCTAATTCCCCACTTTGCCTGAATAATGCCTTATAGCTTGTGTCCTCAGAGGCAGAACCAGAGACAAAGGAAGGAAAAGCCTTGAAAAGTCAAAGCG